AGTCTGTCATGTATAAAGGTATGTTCCTGTTTGCAGTGGGAGCAGGAACACCCAGTACCTGCCACACTCAGAACAAAGTATATCCACCCCGATGAGGTAATGCAAAGGTGCTGCTTTGTGGGGAGGGTATTTCATTGTAGCTGCCTCTCTCTAAGCTCTCCCACTGGAGAGGTAACAAGGTCATTTACTCTCTTAACTGTGGGATAAGAGCCTGTTTCCAGATAGGAAACATATTGCAAATGTGCCAAAGCATATTGTAAACCCAAATCCTAGTTTGCATATAGTCACACAGCCAGAGAGCAGCACTGGTGGCTGAAGGAGATGCCAACGGAGAGACAGAGGAGGAGGGCAGCTGTTACTGCAGGTCTGTACTTAAATTCTCAATAGTCTTGAATTCTTCAATATTCTTAAATTTTTCAATATTCTTGAATAACAAACAACAAAACAACAAAAACCCTAAACTAAAAAGCTGCAATGGCACAAACAAACAAACAACACCCCCAAACAAAACAAATCCCCAACCAATCCCCAATCCACTTTTATAAATTTGTGCAGGTAAGGTTTGTTTTTCTGTATTTCTTTGAAACTGATGCTATTGTAAGGCCATAGTCTCATAAAAAGCTGGGTGCATCATTCCTGCTGTACCTTTTGTGCCTGTTTTGCATCAAATTTGCCCTCTTCTAATGGCAAATGACAGACACTTTTAAGCATGACTTTTATGCCAGCACCAAGATGCTTTTGTCTTTTTTTATTTGTTCAGAGCTGCTTTGGCTGCTGTCCAGCTGCTCACCTGGTCTTGCAGTGCTGGTGTGAGCCCTGGGCTCCTGGGTGGCATTGGAGCTGGGAAATCTGTGTGCAGCTGCTGCTCAGGTGAGGGATTTTGAAGAGCATTAAGTGAGATATTTAGGGGCAGATGGCTGCAGAGAACTTGAACAAATGAATGGGAATAGCTGAAGCATGTACAATGCTGACTTAAAACTTCCCAAAAGTTTTGAGGTCTCAGACACTCCAAAGTCTGTTGTCACTTATTAACTGTTCTGGCAGGGCAGGATGTTGGCAAATGTCATGCAGTTGCAACTGCAAAAATGGTTCTGCAGCCTGGGTCTTGCATCAGTAGTGAGCAAAGAGCCGTTGGTGTTCTGTTGTATTCTGCTAGATACCACAAAAGGCCGTCCGCCAGCAAAGGTTCTACTTCATTCATTGATTTCCTCATGGAAGAAATACCTCAGGTTCCCCAAAGTGCTGAACATCCTTCTATGTCCATCTTTGGGTTTGGGTAGATTCAGCCTTCTGAACACCCCTCCAGCAGCCGTTCTGGAACAGAGCAAAAGCACTTGGGGTGTTCTCTGTGTCCATGCACAGGCTGCATCACACTGGCTGGGCATACTTGCCCATGCTTTGGTCATTACAAGCTCTGTGGAGTGTTTAAAGCCAGGAGAGGTGGGCTGCAGGCAGGACAGTCTGTTGAAGTGCACGTCTATTGGTGGCTAATCTGCCTTGCCGGCATTTCGGCTTGTCACTGGAGGTGGCTACACTCATGAGTCCAGGCTCCATGGTGGTGGTTCCAACAGCACTGCCATGCGTTCCCATGGGCTTCCTTGGTGGATTTATTGTATTGCCTCTCTGCTTTGGCTGTCTCTATATGATGAAGGCTTTTCCCATATTGCAAATAGCATCTGAAAAGCTGCTTTTAAAATACAGCTTCTATGCTAGTGAGAGGCTTCTGCTGAGTTATGCTTCTTGGCCACAGGTGCTGTTACTGCCCTCTGTAATGCTTCTTTCATTCCCCTGGTTTGGGTAGGCTTGGACAGGGTCAGACACAAAACAGCTTTTGTTACAGCCCCAAGTGGAGTCTCTGCATCCATGCTTGAGCTTCTTTGTGATCTGGAGTTGTAGTCAGTAGCAGTGATGTCTTGCATTTTACTGAGTTTAATGAATCAGCTCTTAGACCAGGCTTGCAAGAGCTTTGTGTTGGTCTCTGCTGTGAGTACAGCCTCTTCTCTCCCTCCTCTTCTACCCTTGCTACATGAAGACTTTAAATGCTGAAATAGCAGGTGCTTGACAAGGGACTACAGATGTATTTGAATACTTTGTATGTTGTATTTACCTTCATGTGGAAAACCCATCCCTTTCTGACTGATCATTATTAACTTTGCTTGGACCTGTTTTGGGAGGTAGTCTCAAACTTAAGTAAAGCCTGAGCATTATGCATGCATGAGCTCCACTTAAATTCCCTAGTGCTTCATAAATCAGTTTGTGCAAGGATCATGTGTGTTGAGGATGGAACAACAGCACTCAGGAGGTGTCTGGGTCCTGTTTTGGGACCTGCATGACTCATATGGCAGCACAGATCCAAGCTAAGCTCCTGCTGTTGGATTAGGGTTCAGCTTCCCTCCATGACTGCATTGTGCTGCATCTTTTCTGGGCACCAGTGTTGTTGTCCAGTCATCCCTTGCTGGTGTGTCTGAGCCAGTTAAGGTTAGTAATCCTCTCCCCAGTAATGTGTTCTTTCAGGAGCATTTGCTCTGAGAGTTGCTTTAAATATTGCTTGAACTGACTTTTTAACTCTCACATGAAGAGGTGAACAAGGAGAATGGGGGATGTGAACTGACATTAGGAATGGTGAGACTGGCAAACGTCTATAAAAAAAAATTGTGGATGAAGGTAATATATGACTGGCTACTCCACTTGTTAGGGCATCTTCCACATGTTGTATTTGGGGGGCATATTCTACATGTTGTATTTGGGGTCCCTTCCCATCCTTTGCCCTGATGCTCTGATGTGTCTTACAAGACAGCTCGTGAAGCAAGCTGGTGTCTGCCACACCATCAGTGTCCCCACCTGATGTCCCCACCTGATGAACCAGTGGGGTCCCACCTCCACCTGAGACTGCTTATTCCCAGAAGTCAGCAGGAGAGGTGGAAAATGAGCCTTGGCTCTGGGGTCACTAAAACAACTTTTTCAGGGGTTTTCTTGGGAATCCTAGCATGCTGTGGCTATTGTTTAAAGAGCCATATTCAAGCTGAATGGATTGCTTGCCCATTCAGAAAGATGGAAATACGGGTTAGGGTTTAGCCTGTAGCCTAACCTATAGGCTGGGCCTATTGGTTTAGATGAGACTTCAAACATCTCCAGCTTGGGGACTGTCATCTTGTTTGTTTTCTTGAGTGGACTGAGAAGACTTTTCAGGCCCTGTTGAGGCCAGGTGGTGCAGTTGAGCTCAGATTTTTGTCCTTGCTCTTCTTTCTATCCTGATGCCCTGCTGCTACAACTTTGAGAATAGAGATCTTTAAAGCAAATCTGTTTGCCTCTGTGTCCTGTAAACTGCAGGACTTGCTGAAGACAAGCACATTTGTGAGGCAGGGGAAATATTCTGCATTTTGTAGGCATTTCAGGTTTTCTGAGAAATTATGTTACTAGCAGTATGTGAAGGACATGAGTTTGGATGTGAAAAAGGGCACTTGCACTAGAGGGGCTTAGATGGTTGTAATCTAGTCAGGGTGCCTTGTGTCCTTGGAATACAGCACAGGGCATGGAAATGGGCCTGGGTGGGTGCCACCCTATGGGTGGGTACGTCACAGGCACTTGAATAGGACATTTGAGTTGCAGCACTCAACAGCAGGCATTTTCTGTGTCTGTTTTGCTGTGTCTGATCCAGAGCCCGAGTGGCAGCGTGTTTTGCTTCACTTGAAAACCTTAACTGGATCACTGTGAAAGAGCATGGAAAAGACAAATAGCCTCTCTTTTATTTGTTTTATTTTTCTTTTTAAATAGCATTATTGAGAGGGTGACATTCCGCATTTATTTTGGCTAGTGTGGCTCTTTCTAGTAACTTCAGAGTCGTTCTCCCCCCTCATGGGGTTTTTTTGGCTTGCAGTTAACAAAGTGCAATTGAGCCTGAGCACTTGGCTCATTTCGATGGCGAGCATGACTTCAAGTATCCCAGTACAAGAGCAACGTGTGTGAGGTGGGAGGGGGGGAATGCATCCTTGCATTTCTCCTCTTTCCGCCTTTTTCTTTCGAAGGAGCCACCTGTTACATTACATCAGCGGCTCCCAGGAACGCCGCCTCCTACCAAGGCCTCGCACAAAGTAGTAGTTCTTGTATTGTTTGCACTCAAAGAGCTGATGTAGTGCCAGCTGATGTCATTGTGTGCTTTGTGGGATCGCCATGGAAACTGGGCAGGTGGGGAGCCTGCCGCTGATGTCAGTGCCGAATGAGGTGTAGAAAGAAGGTCCACTTTGCTTGCCCCAGCTCTGTGAAGCCGCCCTCCTTGGGAAATAAAAAATGGACGGGAAGAGAAATGGTGCTTGAAAAAGGGAAGGCACGAGCTTCCTTCACTGAGAAAGCGACTTCTCCTCCCCCCTCGGATCCATTTCCCAATCTATTTTAATGTCCTAAAAATAACTCTCGCTAGATATTTTCAGGTGGCCGGGGCAGCAAAAGGAGAGCTGTTTGCCACATGTTAAGCAAGCACCTCGGTCACTGTTAGGTTACAAGGAGTGGTTTTCTTTTGTTCGAGTGCGCAGACGGGTACATGCTGTTCCCTGGAGCGATGCCGGGGTGAGCTGCTCCATCCTCCTCAGAGCTCTTGGGTGGGGGGATGCTCTGCAGGGCAGGTAAAGCTAAGACTGTCCCAGCTGGCTTGCTGCTCTGCTTTAGTGTGTCGATAGCCCCTTGGCCCCTAGTTTTGGTGATGTTTTCCTTCTTGGAAAAACACCTTCCTTGTGGCTCAGGCCGGTAGGTGAGGCAGCCCCAGCAGGCCGATGTTGCACAGAGGCGTGTTTGTCCGTGAGCCCGTTTCTTGGCACCGTCCGCCGCGCAGAGGGAGGACAATGCCTGCTGCTGATTCATGCCACCCTTGCTGTTGACAGCCCAGTGACACTGTTACAGTGGTGGTGGGGACAGGAGAGCCAGCTCCAGCCCTCGTGGCCCCACTGTGTGCTCTGAGGAAATCTTGGGGTGTCTAACCAAAGTATCTGCTTGGTCTCCCTTCCCAGGAGGACTCAGCGGTTTCAAGCAGAACCACGAAAACCTCTGCGACAATTCCCTCCAGCTGCAAGAGTGCCCCGAGGGGGGAGGAGGGGGCGGCGCCTCCGCTGTGCCCCCCGTGCTACCTCAGTCCATCCCCACCACGCCAGACATCGAGAACGCTGAGCTCACCCCCATCCTGCCCTTCCTCTTCCTCGGAAACGAGCACGATGCTCAGGACTTGGAGAAAATGCAGAGGATGAACATCGGCTACGTCATCAACGTGACCACCCACCTGCCCCTGTACCATTACGAGAAAGGCATGTTCAACTACAAGCGGCTCCCGGCCACTGACAGCAACAAGCAGAATCTCAGGCAGTATTTTGAAGAGGCTTTTGAGTTCATTGGTAATTGCCCTTTCCTGGAAATACTCCTGTTTGTTTTTTTATTGTTATTTTTTTTACCCACTGTAACAATTTAGAGTGAACTTTATGCTTTGCCAACAACTCTGAAGGCTGGTTAAGGCCCTATTTCCTTTAGTTTGAGTTGTTAGAAATGCTGAACACATCATATTTCTGTCCTTTCTCATCTCTGGCACATCTGGTTAAGTAGCCCGAGGTTACAGTTTTTATCCAGTGATAGTGACGCCTACCTCCAGGCTTCTAAATTCAGGAAGCCCCACAAAATTGAGACTTTCGTCATCCTATCTTTTTGATTCCCTTGCATTCCTAGTTTCCACACAGTGGCTTCCAGCCAGTTTTTCATAGTGAATATGCTTAATGGTGTCTCAGTCTTTGCTAACTTAATGAGAAAACTGACAAACTTTCACACTTGGCTTGTTCCACCATTAAATTTGTAGCTTCAGAGTGTATGTGTGGTTGAGTGGATAGTGGTGAAAACTTGCATTAATAAGCCTCTAAACCCTGTAGGCTGTGTGAGAGAGCTCACCATAGACATGCAGCTTGTTGTGGAGATTGCTGAAGAAGTGACCCAGCAGCATTGTTCTGGACCTCATTATGATCAACACAGCACAGCTCTCAGCCAAGTTTAGGGCCATGCTCAGCTAGGCTAAAGCCAGATGGCCACTTCAAGCAGGGCTGGTCAGAGAGGTCTTCAGCATGTGCTACTGAAAGCTTTTGAGGACCTTTCCTTGTCCTTCTAGATGTCTTTGTGGACACTGCTTTTGTGGCATAGTAAAAGTGATTCCCTAGCACAAGTATGTGTCCTGAGAGGTTTTCTGCAATATGCTGGGGATATTTTACTGACATAAAATTCCATTTTCTTGTGCTGAGACTGAGCTAATACCAGTACTTCAGGCTTGATGGAGAAGTACTAGACAAAGGAGGAAGTGTGCTTGTATGCAGCACTGCAGCATAGGTCCTTGACTGACCCTGTACTGGAGTGGGTGTTCCTCCCTGCCCTCCTTTGTGCTGGCTCTGCACTCAGGTGCACTCAGGCTCGGCAAGGATTTAGCCCCAGCTGTGGGACTGGGTACCAGGGCAGGAGGGCCAGGCTCAGCATGTTGCTGTGAGCCCATCTGCCCCTGCTGCGTGCCGGCCAGGGCTGGCAGCTCGGAAGCAGACGGCTCCTCATCCTCGCCTGGCTGTGTCTTGGCAGGGAGTCCTGGTGTGCTGATGCCTGTGCTCTGTAGCCACACCCCTTAGTGAAGTGACTAGAGAAATCACTGCTTATGCAGGGCAGTTCAGGTGAGTTTTGCCACTCTGAGCCTTTGGGCTTGTCTTCTACAGTGTGAAGAACCAAAGGATCTCTAACTCAAATTTTCCCTTGTGTTCCTAACTCAGCCCCAGTGGTAGAAGTAGTGCTGTCAGCTCCCTAAGCTGCTGGCTATTGTGTGCCTGGGAAGGTGACACTTGTTTGGGTGAAGGGCAGGTAAAAGGGAGCCTTGCTTTGATCCTCTGGGAAAACAGCTGTGTCAAGAAATCCAGTAAAACCTTAAACTTTGAGTTGAGCAAGACGGGGGGAGATGCAATAGGCTAAGCTTAGGTAAAGAGACTGTGGAGCTTCATTGAGGTCCTTCTGTGGTAGAAGAGAGAGACTTTTGCTTCCCTCATCCCCATGAATTGCAGGATTAGAGTTCTCAAAACTACTGAAAGATTGTGTTTGGATTGTGATCTTACCAAGAGCAGAGAAAGCAGAAACCTTTCTCTGTAAAGGTTAGAAAACGTTTTGAAACCCATTTTACTTTCCTTTTTAATAATTACAACTTGAGGGTCTGTCTTTGTTTTCAATAAACAAATATTTCTCCATTGAGAGTTTTTCTTCTGTATCAAATTAACCAGCTGGGGAAGTAACTTGTCAAAGCTTTCCCTTCCTCAGGGTAGACTTTAAATTTTGTTTGAGAAGATTTGGAAATGTTTAAACAGCATATTGTTGGCCTATGTTTCTTTAAATATGTCGTCAAAAAAACCACAACCAACCCCAGGTTTAGCTAAGACTAAAGCCATAGGAAGTGAAATCATCAGAAACTCTCTGGGAATGTGTGTCAAAATGTGTTAGAGAGTTTCAGCTTTCTGAAATACTAACTGGCAAAAATGTCTAGAGGGAAGTTGGCTTCATTTGTGCTTTCACAGTACAGGTTGAACATGTGGGGTGGGTTGAACCGTACTCATGGTGGGATTGGATTAATGCCAAAACCTGCAAACTAAATTCACATTCCTCCTGTGGAATGAAACAAAAGAGGTCGCTTGAAGTGTCACTTTGTGAAAGTTCCATCTCCTGTTTTAAAAGCAAGCTGTGTCAGATGAGGATGGTATGGCAGTGACTCTCCTCTCTCATGTCCTGTTAGTATGTGGTTAGAAGGACTGTCTCCCCTAAATGCTGCCCAGGGTGCCTCCCTCTGTGTGATGAATCTTGCTGGAGTGGAGTGTGTGTATCCAGCTTCTCCTTTTGCATAGAGGCACCACAGCAGAGAGCCCCACTGAAGCTCATTTCAAGAATAGCTTTGTAAAGCTTCAGAGGACAGGGCTTTGAAACAGATGTATTGTTATGGACTGAATCTGAAAATACCTGGTTTTTAGAAGAGTGGTTCCCTGTTTTGAAAAACAGGGAGGTTGAGATGCTGACATAACGCAATGGCATTGCAACTGAAGTGGAAATGGAGCTCGAGATTCCTCGTCATGGGCCTTGCCCTCCTTAAGAAATGCTCCCTGGCAGTGAAGCAGCGTCTCTCAATGTATGGTTCCATCCACTAATTAAGAGTAGAGAGTGGATGTGGGGATTTTCAGTGGCAGACTGGACTGAGGATTTCACATTGAGTAGCTCTGAAACCTCGGGGGAAGATGTGCTGGAGGGGAAGGGGAAGAGACGGTGCTGTGCTTGCAGTCAAATCAAGGGACTTGTCACATGAAGTTGCTCTTAATTGCACTGAGCTTGTTCTAATTTGCAAACTGGCAAAAAGTCTTATTTTCTTCTGTCTGTCTCGTTTGCAGAGGAAGCTCATCAGTGTGGGAAAGGTCTCCTCATCCACTGCCAGGCCGGTGTCTCTCGATCTGCCACCATCGTTATCGCGTACTTAATGAAGCACACACGCATGACCATGACGGATGCCTATAAATTTGTCAAAGGCAAACGACCAATCATTTCCCCCAACCTTAACTTTATGGGGCAGTTACTGGAGTTCGAAGAAGATCTGAACAATGGAGTCACCCCACGAATCCTCACACCGAAGCTGATTGGCGTAGAGACTGTCGTGTGACAGCTGAGCTGCGAGGGGGCTGAACCTGTTCTTCACCTGATTTGGGGCAGTGATGGGTGGGTTGTGGGGTTTTCTTTTTAGCTTTCAAAGGGGAGTTTTGTGGCAAACTTTTTGTGAATAAAAACCTTTTTTTGTAAGGAAAGGTTTTTAAAAGATCCAAGAACTTTGCTGGGTTTGGGATGCTGTTATGATTTCCTTCTCAGACACCAGCAGAGCAGGGAGGCTTCAGAGCAAAAGGAGTACTTTCTAAAATAAAAACAACAAGAAGAAGAAACATTGGGCTTTTTTTCTTTTAATTTTTATTTTTCCCCTCCTCTCTGGCTACTTGTAGAGTTTATGGCTAAGTAGTCTGTGCAGGTTCATAGACTGAAGAAACCTAAGTTGAAGACAAAACACAAATAGCCAAAACAAAGCAGAAAAAAACTTCCCTGAAACAGAAGGGCCTTCGTTCTGCAAAGGCTTTGCTAAAGATAACCTAGCAAAATGCTCACCGATGCAAAGGAAATCAGAGCAGCTTAAAAGTCTGCAAGGCACTTTTCACACTCCTGACTCAAAACTAAAGAAGAAAACAAAGTTCATTTGGCGTGTTTCATGTTCCAGTTCTATTTTTCTATTTTGGGGTGTAAGGTTTTAACAGTAAGGGACTTCGATCATTCTATGCCATATGCCTTCACTGGCTTCGTGTGCAATAATAATTTGGGGTTTGTTTTGAGTGTTCAAACCAATTAAGAGTTGGCTGCCCACTAATAATAAGATAATAATTTTTAAAGTGTAATAGTGCAACAGCAGCCAGCTTGGTTCAGAAAGGATAAATGAGAGCAGTTATTTTGTTCCTTTATATGATTTTGAATCCTGGTTACAGTGCCATAAACCTTGTTACATATGTATATCAGAATGTACAAAAATCTAGAACAAGCAAAGTTTATTTAAAAATATTTTTCGCACAAAATATTGGTATGTTTCAGTTGTCTATGTAAAAGAAATTTGATTATAAAACAAAAAATCTTTTGGAAAGTGTGTGTCCTTTTATTTCTTTAGCCATTTTCCATTTTCTTTCTATGGGATGGGGTTTTTGTTTTGTTCCCTTCGGTTTGTTTTTTTTGTGGCATTGTCCCTCTCACATTGACAAAATTGATCTCTTGTTTGGCATCTCCCCTTCAGTGTTGCGTTCCTGTCCTCTGCTGGTGGAACATGTTTTCTTTGCTTTCTGCTGTACTCTTGCATCTCTCTGTAACCAGATTTTTCTCTCTGGTTCGACTGAATTAGCACTTACTGGTGAGGGCTTTTTGGAACAGACCTGTTATTTTTACAGCTCAGTAGCTGTTTGGAAAAATAAGAAATAAACAATCTCCACTGATTCCTTTCCATATTCCTGTAGTTAACTTATCTTCTATGTTACAAAATTGTCCGGTTTTTAGACATATGTTGGTCATGTGTGCTTTTCCCTGGCCTCTCTATAGCCCCCTTGTTTTGTAGTTCCACAGTTCCTGGGAATCATCCTCCTGGGATTTTTCCCTTCCCTCTTGCCCTTCTTCCCCCTCCTTTTCCAGCTGTGTCAGTGTTGTGTGGTGTGTATTGTAGGGCTGATGTCTTTGCCTGACAGTGTCCCTTGGGTGGCTGACTTTTGCTTTCCTTGTTTGTGTTCACTTTTTTTTTAATGATATGGTATAACCTGATCTGTTCTGGACTGTTACCACCTCTAAAATTTATTTGTGTGAGCCTAAAATTAATTAGAAAACATTTCTCATATGATTCTGTTGTGGAAATTGATCTGTCCCAGGAAGGCTGATAGCAGTGAAGGCTTTTCCTAGATGAAAACCTACATGGACTGAACCAAGTGTAAAACAGGACCTGTTGGAAAACTTAATGTATAATCACATTAGACATGTATATTTTTGTGGACATTTTACTTAAAATGTTGTTACTATACAGATATTTTCTTGAAACTTATCCCTTTATTAAATTATTTTTCTACTGGAGTTGATTTTTTTAAATTTTCTTTTCTTTTCTATGATTATTATTGGACCTTTCGTTGAAAACACCCTTGGCAGTGATTACTGCCCAGGAAGCAAAATCTCTTGGACTGTGATTGCTCCTGGAGCTAAGGAGAGAGTGGCTGGGCAGAAAAGGTGGCATTTGCTTGTTGGGGGTCTTTGTGCTTTGGGAAGGAAGGAAAGCTGCTCTGCTTCCCACCCTTGTCCCTTTCCTCGTGTTTGGGCCCAACCTGTTCCAGCTATTCTCCATGATCTGCAGGTGCCTCTCGTTAGGTAGGAGGGAGGAGGTTAGAAAACCTCCTTTTTATCAGAGAACCAAAAGCAGCAGTGGGGCTGAGGGCTGGCTGAAAAGATGGTTTTTGCAGCCTATTTGTGGTCGTAAGTGCTGTGTAATAATGCTGATGCTCTGCCAGGGAAATGGATTATTCACCAAAAGGAGCATGCAGGCTACATACCTGGGGCCCAGCAAGAAGGGAAGGAGGACTTGAATCAAAGTTGTTCTTCCATTTTACTGCTTTTCTTGTTCCTGTTCAAATACCTTGAGAGGGAGGAAGGTTGTGCTGCACCAACACGACTCACAGCATCCTTTCTCTGGTTCAGCCTCGGCCACTGCACGCTGCGTGCATTAGGATGAAGTTTGCAGCCAAGTAAGTACTGGTGTTTAGTTCTTATGGGAGCCAATGAGTAGCTCTTGCAGCCTTGAGTGAGTTACTGGCTGTAGAGGATTTGATGTGTTTACCTCAGTCAGGCTCAGCAGTTTGGCTGCTGCTGCTCCGTGCATGGGTGTGGAGCTGGAGTTTCTGCTGCAGGAACCCTGTCAGCCTGTGCTCGTCACTGCGAGGAGCAATGGTTGATTTTATTCTCCAGTGTAATGGTCTTGGAAATGATGGGGCAGGGCACTGCAGGGCTGTGAGTGAGTGGAGTTTGCTGGGGGTTTGTTGATAGTGGAGATGGGCTGATCAAACCCTCCTTTGTGCAGACCATTCCTTAGAGGGGACCTCTGCAGGGTTGTGTCCCACTGAGGGCAGTGCTGGGAGGTGGCAGCCTGGGAATTGCTTCACCAGGGAACAAGTTAGAGGGTAATGCTGATTTTTTTAAAGGCAGAATTTACTGAATCTAGTAAATGATCACTTAGCACCTTTATGCTAAGGGCAGGAGAAAGTCAGTGAGGGTTTGAGGAGTCCTGCCTGTGTGCACTTTTTGCATCCTTTTCTGCTACCCAGTATGATGCACTGTGAATATGTGCATGTGTGTCAGTATGAAGCCCCTGCCTGAGCACTCTGTGTGCTCCTAGCCAGAAAAAAATGAAAGATGTGCCCTCATTTCTGGGAGGGAGCAGGGATGAAGAGAAAGGGGCCAGAATTGTGATGGGATTTAAACAGGTATTGTTACTGCTGTGGCACAGGAACACCAAAAAGGTTATTTATGTCTTTAAAGACAGAATTGAGGCTTGATCACCTATCCCCTGCTCTTACTGCTGGCTGTGACACCCCCATCAGCCACTCCAAGATGAAGCACAGTTAAAAAAATGGGAAAATCACTTAGTAGCCTTTTATTCACACGTGGGTGTCAGTAAGACCAAGACCTGCTTTTCACTGCTCTGTGTCAGCATTGTGCTCTTGTGTGAGGTGTGCTAAAACAGGCACAATCCTGGAAAATTGATTCCCTCATAACTCATTTTCCATTTCTCCCCCGAGTTCTTGTTTCTGAGAATATTGCCCAGGTTCTGTGAGTGGCTCCCTGAGATCCACCTTGCAAAGCAAGGCATTGTGAGCTAGTGCCACTTCTGGTTGGCAATTTACTTTCTCTTTACAAATGGTGACCTACCATGTGTGAGACCTGTAAAGCTCTGTTAAAGCTGGAATTGTTCAATTCATCCATCTTGCAAGCTATTCTGACTTCAGGGTTGGACTTCCAGAGCCAAGAGATAGTTCAACTTTCCATGCTAAGCAGCTCATATGCTTTGTTCTTCTTGGTCATGCTGGGGATAACTGAATCCCCCTTCTTGTCTTGGCAGATGATTTCCTGAGACTTCCTATGGCTTTACCTTTCACAGATGTGCCAGCATCCTTTGGAAAAAGGCAGATGGAAGGTCCCTCCCCTACCCTCTTGACAGATACGGACTCAGAGTGTTTTCAGCTGCAATTGTGTGGGAAGCACATTGGTGCCTTATAGTCACAAGCTCTGCCAAGGGCTCCTTCCAGGGAGGTGTGTTCCAAAGCACAGGCAGGACCTGACTAGACTGAGGAACCTCCAGGGGTGTGGGAAAAGGCAGATGGGGGTGTGTTTTGGCCTCCAGTCCTGCTTAGCTGTGGTGAAGCTGGCTCCTGCCATGCGTGCTACCAGCCGCAGGAAGGCCTCTGGGAACTGAAGATGCTGATGCAGTAGGGAGGACAAAAAAGCCTCTGGGAACAGAAGATGCTGACTCAGTGAGGAGGACAAAAATAAAGTCTATCTCTCGACTGAGCTAAGGAGGGAATCAAAGAGAGATAAGAAGTAGTTGAGGATTGGGTCATTAGCAGGTATCTGCTTTCCTGTGGCCTGTTTGTCTGCTGTTCCTGTAGGCCCCACAGAGGAGTTACTGATGAGCAGGTTTCAAATGGTTTGAGCCAGCCTGAGATGAGTAGCCTATAATCGGAGCCATTTGTTTTCCCAGTGAGTGTGCAGCTGCTGGAAACAAAGTTCAGGTCCTACGGCGTTGCCAGGAGTGATACAGGGTGCTGCCAGCCCCCATCTTCCTCCCACTACTTGGTGCAGTATTAATCTCTTTGCTCAGTCCAGTGCTCCTTTTGCTGAGGGGTTTCTTGCCTCTCCTGCCCCCATCCTCCTGTTAAGCACTTGCCCCAGTGGAGCATGAGCAGGAAGAGTAGGCTCCTTGTCTTGCTCTAACTGTCTTCTGCATCTTTTCCAGTCTTGTCATTCCACAGACTGGGGGAAAGCAACTTAAAGTCAGTAATTTTTGAGGCATATTGCAGCCAGACAAATGTTTGCAATGATCTTGATGGGCTTCTGGTGTGATTTGGTTACTTCAGGCAGAAACTCTCCTTGAGAGCCCAGAGCCCAAGACATCCTGCAGCAATTCCAGCTTGCAACTGCCTCCTTACTAGAAATAAGGGGCACACTAGGGATGGCGAAATTGCACATTTCAATCACCTGCTGAGCATCTCTAGTTGGCGCTGCCCAGGTAGAGAGGCCTCTCAGGTGAGCTGTGAGCCAGAACGAGGAACAGTAGCAGAACTTACCCAAGGTGCAGCCAGAAATCCTACTGCTGGCTCGGTGACCGAGCTGCCCTGCTCTTTGTGCCTTTATGGAGTCAGTATCCTGTATCCTACAGTATGTAGAGATGCCTGGCCTTGGAAGCTGTCTGAGGTCCTGTTGAATTTGGCTGGATCCAGTCTGGCTTAAATCCTGCCCTGTGAGATGCCCATCTGTTCAGCGTCTTCCCGGGATGTGACGGGAGTTTGTCAGACTGAGCCAAGAGCCTGTGAGCTCCTGATTCAGGGCTGGGTTCATTTCAGTGGCAAGAAAAAATAACCTAAAGGTTTATTCCTGAGGATAAGAATGGCTGTATCTTGGAGGGGAAGAGTTCAGCATGGTACAGAAACACTTGAAAAACCTTCATGTGAACCAGGGAGTAAAATTAAAAATGTAACAAACTATTTCTGTTAGATCACTAAGTGAGAGGTTAAATATAATTTGACTCATATGCCTTGTCTTCACACTTCTGCACCTTAGCTTCTTTGATTGTCTATATATAAGAAGTGACATTGGAGAGCATGGATTTGTCCTGAAGTTTTATTTTGCATGGAGAGATGAAGGCACTGTCTGGCACTTGTGAGTTTCATATCAAGTTGCGCTTCTGGCAGACGCCAGTGGAGCATTTAAAGAAGATCACATTGTAGAGCAGCATAGTAAGTTGCTATAAGGATAGCCAGAGGTTTGTCTGTGATGCAGGGCCTCTGGATAGAGGGCTGCTGGGTTGTAGAATCTCTCTGGTCCAGGACACATGCAGGTACAAAA